AGCCTGTAGTGTGGTTTTCCACTTTAATTTTGAGGGTGACTCCAAATCCAGACCTCCATGGGTTGATAAATTTGATTTCCATTGATAATTGTTGTGTGATTTTGTTGTCAGCACATTCAACTATGTAAAGAAAAAAGTATTTAATAAGATTATTTCATTCATTCAGATCTAGGATGTGTTGTTTAAGTGTTCCCTTTATTTATTTGAGCAGTGTACATCCACAGGTACACCTCCAATTGACTCAAATGATGTCAATTAGCCTATCAGAAGCTTCTAAAGCCATGACATCATTTTCTGGAATTTTCCAAACTCTTTAAAGGCACAGTCAACTTAGTGTATGTAAACTTCTGTCCCACTGGAATTGTGATACAGTGAATTATAAGTGAAATAATCTGTCTGTAAACAATTGTTGGAAAGATTACTTGTGTCATGCACAAAGTAGATGTCCTAACCGACTTGCCAACACTATAGTTTGTTAACAAGAAATTTGTGGAGTGGTTGAAAAAATGAGTTTTAATGACGCGAACCTAAGTGTATGTAAACTTCTGACTTCAACTGTATAATAATTTTAAAAACATTGTGGCTAAAATCAAAGATATCGCTGAAGTCGATTGTGCAACGGCAGGCTATCTCGTGTGGCCCTACTCTGTTCAACAATATATCAGAGCTTTGAACCAATGGCCTACTTTGAACCAATGGCATTGATTTACATATCTCTTGGAACGAGTGGCCATGAAATGAAAAAGGCCCTGAAATTCAGAAGGTGCCATTATGAAATTATAAATGTTCTAATGAAAAAGGCTATCAAATTCAGAAGGTGCCATTATGAAATGATAAATGTTCTAATGAAAAAAGCCATTGGGAAATACAATTGGTTAAAAACAAAGTGACATTATGAAAAAATATTTCGTAATAATGCAGCACTTATTCTTGAATCATGTAAACATATTATATTATATTTAATTATGTATTCATTTATTTATTTTAAAATGTCATTCTGAGTATGTGTAATTTAATTATTTATTAATTTATATATTCATTTGTTTATATTTAGTACTTTTATCCTCCATATTAATTAGCCAATGAAATGCCCATTATGGCATTCTGTGGACCCCCTGTGGCTCAGTTGGTAGAGCATGGCATTTGCAACGCCAGGGTTGTGGGTTCGATTCCCACGGGGGGCCAGTATGATCTTTATTTTTATGCATGCACTCACTAACTGTAAGTCATTCTGGATTAGAGCGTCTGCTAAATGACTAAAATGTAAATGTGTGTAACCTATTAATTGACCATTGGTTAAAGTGGATTGTTTTCCCCACACAAAGACTGGTAATATATTACTAATACACTACTTATAAATAATAATCAAGTGTTGGACTTGGTACTGCACCATTTGATTTAATAGTCGGAATTCCTCATTGAGGAAATACAATTGAAAGCTGCTGATTCTAACATCAGTAAATGGAATTGCCCCAGCAGTTCTCATACAGAACAAGAATTGAAAGGATGCTAATTTCCTCCTGTTGAATAGGTTGTCTCTTATTACTGGTTGAGATCTTCTACAGAACCTGTATTCATAAAGAATCTCAGGGTTGGAGTACTGATCCTAAAATGGCCACTTTCATCATGATAAGAAAATAAAAAATTATACAAATGTAAAAAGCATTTACTGAGGAGGAGGCCGTCCGGTACCGGAAGGCGATAAAGGGGGAGACCCAGGCAGGAGAGGAGCAGCGGCGCCAAACGGGTCAACGTCGGACAGGCGAGAGGCAACCCCAAGAAATTTTTAGGGGGGGGCACACGGCATGGACGACGGGGCTGACGGAGGCAGACAAGGGGCGAGTTCAGAGGGCCACCAGGTTACGGGAGCCATTGGTGAGAAGGGGGAAGGAAGTTGTAGAGGCACGGCGAGAGGTACTGAGGTGTATTGCCAGTCCGGTCCGGCCCGTTCCTGATCCCCGTTTAAGGCCAGTGGTGTGTGTTCCCAGTACGGTCCGGCCTGTTCCTGCTCCACGCACCAAGCCTACGGTGTGCGTCGCCCGCCCAGCCCGGCCTGTCCCTGCTCCACGCACCAAGCCTACGGTGTGCGTCGCCAGCCCAGCCCGGCCTGTCCCTGCTCCACGCACCAAGCCTACGGTGTGCGTCGCCAGCCCAGCCCGGCCTGTTCCTGCTCCACGCACCAAGCCTACGGTGTGCGTCGCCAGCCCTGCCCGGCCTGTTCCTGCTCCACGCACCAAGCCTACGGTGTGCGTCGCCAGCCCTGTCCGGCCTGTTCCTGCTCCACGCACCAAGCCTACGGTGTGCGTCGACAGCCCAGCCCGGCCTGTTCCTGCTCCACGCACCAAGCCTACGGTGTGCGTCGACAGCCCAGCCCGGCCTGTCCCTGCTCCACGCACCAAACCTACGGTGTGCGTCGTCAGCCCAGCCCGGCCTGTCCCTGCTCCACGCACCAAACCGACGGTGTGCGTCGTCAGCCCAGCCCGGCCTGTCCCTGCTCCACGCATCAAGCCTACGGGGTGCGTCGCCAGCCCGGCCCGGCCTGTCCCTGCTCCACGCACAAAGTCTACGGTGCGCGTCGCCAGCCCGGTCCGGCCTGTTCCTGCCACTCGCACCAAGTCTACGGTGCGCGTCGCCAGCCCGGCCCGGCCTGTTCCTGCCACTCGCACCAAGCCAGGGGTGCGAGTCGTCAGTCCGGCACAACCCGTGCCTGGGTCATCGGTGCCAATTCAGGTACCGCTCAACTGCTCCACTAAGGAGCTGAAGCCTACCGCCCCTGCTACGTCCAGCCCAGCTCCAGCCAGCGGGGCCAGACCGGACCAGGGGCGCTATGGGGGGTTTGTTGGAGGGTGGTGGGCAAGGCCGGAGCCAGAACCGCCGCCGAGGAGGTATGCCCACCCAGCCCTCCCCTGTTTTGCTCGTATTTAGGCGCGGTCGCAGTCCGCGCCTTTAGGGGGGGGTACTGTCACACCCTGGCTCTGGGACTCTATATGTTGAGCCAGGGTGTGTTCATTCTATGTGTTCTGTTTCTTTGTTTGGGTGTTCTAGGTTGGTTATTTCTATGTTTGCCTGTGTGACTCCCAATCAGAGGCAACGAGTGTCAGCTGTCGGCTGGTTGTCTCTGATTGGGAGCCATATTTAACTGTCTGTGTTTCACTTTGTGTTTGTGGGTTTTTGTTCCGTGTTCGGTCAGTGTCACCGTGGACTTCACGAGTCGTGTTTTGTTTGTAACTTTAACTAATTAAAGTCATGTTTGTTTCACACGCTGTGCCTTGGTCTACTCACTCCTACGACGATCGTGACATAAACATCCTTCCTCCCAATGAAGTTTCTATGTGAGAATTGCCAGAACAACCTGAGATTGTATTTTCGGGCTGTCCTGGCGTGGAATCACCCTAGTGCACTATGTAGGGAATAGAGTGCCATTTGAGACATAGACAGTGCCAGCCTCAGCATCATAGTACATCTTTGCTAAGAAAGCACAAATCGTCACAAATCACAGCGGTTTCTCCCCAGTATCTCTTCCTATTTACCTTCCTCTCTCATGACAAGAGTTGACCTCTCAGGGGTCAAGGCTACAGCGTATAATGGACGAGAGATGTTTAAATGATATATGGCATGTGCATGTACATGTGAGACCCCTTCCGTGAAGAGCGTCGGAGAGAGCCGGTTTGAATTTGGAGGTTTAAATCGTTTCAGACAAGAGAGAGTGTTAGATGTGCTGGCAAACTGTACAAAATCGAACCATCGAAGATTCTCTATCCTGCCTAACAAATTATTCTGGATTCTTATGATGATTTTAGAAAAGTGTGAAAGTGTGACTGTTCCAATGCAGGCACAAAATGTGATAGAGCAAAAATATAAACTTTTTCCTAGATTCCTAGATACCTCAGAGTGGTTCAAAGTGCCACTACTATACTGAGGGCCTCAGAAACTGTCAACATTTTAAAGAAAAATCTTAAGCTTTTACTACCTATTTTATTTATTTGATCAATTTCTATATATTGTATTTATTTGAATGCAATAGTCATGTCCACTGCTATGTTATTATTCTTTTACTATTTTAATTGTCACCTAATTTAGAAAACATAAAGTAAAAATATAAATATTTCTCAGCTTTTATTTTATTTGTTAAGAACTTTCAAATGCATTCTCTGTAACAAATGCGCTGTGTAGTGCCCCCCGAGCGGCGCAGCGGTCTAAGGCACTGCATCGCAGTGCTAGAGGCGTCACTACAGACCCGGGTTCGATCCCGGGCTGTGTCACAACTGCCCGTGATCGGGAGTCCCATAGGGTGGCGCACAATTGTCCCAGCGTCGTCCGGGTTAGGGGAGGGTTTGGACAGGGGGGGCTTTACTTGGCTCATCGTGCTCTTGTGGCGGTCCGGGCGCCTGCAGGCTGACTTTGGTTGCCAGTTGAGCAGTGAAGCAGTGTTTCCTCCAACACATTGGTGTGGCTGGCTTCCGGGTTAAGCAGGCGGGGGTTAACAAGTGTGGTTTGGCGGGTCATGTTTCGGAGAACACGTGACTTGACCTTTGCCTCCTGAGCCCATTGGGGAGTTGCAGCTATGAGACGATCAAAAAAGGGGGTAAAATTAAATTTAGAATTAAACCCAATAGGCCTATCCTAGAAATGGAAAATTATTACTTATTGTGACAAAAAGAGACCCCAAAGCATATATATGTCAAACATATCAAGGCCACATACTGTTGCACCATGGGGGCTCCTGCAAAGTGTGTGGAACTGTGACATCACGCAGCATTAGTTCCTCTCAGAAGCACAGGGCCAGCCTATAGCTGGACTGTGGATTATCTTTCAAACACCGGTCATGTTGCTGTACATGGTTATATGAGGCCAATGGTATCTCATGACTACAATGGCCTCTTACTAAAAATAAACACATGAATAACTGGTTTACACAAGCAGGATCAAATCTAGCTAAATGTCTTTGTGGTAACATTGATCGGGTATTTAAACAACTGCATCTCTTTAATTCCTCTATTCTAGAAATACTAGAGACACAACAGAACAGATAAGAGATACTTACAGTATAGTACATTGATACAGTAGTTTTTCTATCCCAGACTGGGGGCTTATAATGAGCAACAACACACAACAGCTGGCTTGTTGCGCAGGCATTCAAGATGAAATAACCCCTTATTCTCCTATGTTAATCCTTTACATTTACATTTTAGTCATTTACCAGACGCTCTTATCCAGAGCGACTTACAGTTAGTGAGTGCATTCATTTTCTTTCATACTGGCCCCCCGTGGGAAACGAACCCACAACTCTGGCGTTGCAAACGCCATGCTCTACCAACTGAGCTACAGGGGACCAACTACACTCTACCAACTGAGCTACATCCCCCATGAATGACAACACAAGGGGTTGAATCTCTGTAAGAGGGAGAGGAGTGAGATGTATAAATCACGGGTTGCATCCCAAATGTCACCCTATTCCCTACATAATGATTGACATAATGCATTACTGTTGACCAGAACCTTAGTCAAAAGTAGTGCACTATGTAGGGAATAGGGAGACATTTGGGACTCAGGCCACATCTCCTCTTATTCCTCCTGAGGGGGGCTAATGAATGGATTTAGATTCCGTGTGTCTCCCCATCTGTGAAGTCTCACTCCTGTTTCATCATCTCCTTATGTTAGCCCCAGCCTCTAACCCTGAGTAATACAACCCACCGGCAAGTCACCCCACATTCACCCCGCAGTTCCAATCCAGAAGGTATAGATTTCAAATCAATAGCGATCATTCACACCGCAGGAGAAAACAATGCTGTATGGGTTTGCCGTGTAAGACGAGATGCACATATTAATCCAATTTCCCTAAGAGGTATCCTGGCTAACATGTAAACATTGAAAGTCACTGAGCTCTTCAGTAAGGCCATTCTACTGCCAATGTTTGTCTATGGAGATTGCATGGCTGTGTGCTCGGTTTTATACACCTGTCAGCAACGGGTGTGGCTGAAATAACCGAATCGACTATTTTGAAGTGGTGTCCACATACTTTTGTATACAGTATATAGTGTACAGTGCCTTGCAAAAGTATTCATCCCTCTTGGCGTTTTTCCTATTTTGTTGCATTACAACCTGTAATTTAAATGGATTTTTATTTGGATTTCATGTAATGGACATACACAAAATAGTTAAAATTGGTGAAGTGAAATGAAAAAAATAACTTGTTAAAAAAATTCTAAAACATAAATCACTAAAAAGTGGTGCGTGCATATGTATTCACCCCCTTTGCTATGAAGCCCCTAAATAAGATCTGGTGCAACCAATTACCTTCAGAAGTCACATAATTAGTTAAATAAAGTCCACCTGTGTGCAATCAAAGTGTCACATGATCTGTCACATGATCTCAGTATATATACACCTGTTCTGAAAGGCCCCAGAATCTGCAACACCACTAAGCAAGGGGCACCACCAAGCAAGCGGCACCATGAAGACCAAGGAGCTCTCCAAACAGGTCAGGGACAAAGTTGTGGTAAGTACAGATCAGGGTTGGGTTATAAAAAAATATCAGAAACTTTGAACATCCCACAGAGCACCATTTCCATTATTCAAAAATGGAAATAATATGGCACCACAACAAACCTGCCAAGAGAGGGCCGCCCACCAAAACTCACGGACCAGGCAAGGAGGGCGTTAATCAGAGAGGCAACAAAGAGACCAAAAATAACCCTGAAGGAGCTGCAAAGCTCCACAGCGGAGATTGGAGTATCTGTCCACAGGACCACTTTAAGCCGTACATTCCACAGAGCTGGGCTTTACAGAAGAGTGGTCAGAAAAAAGCCATTGCTCAAAAAATAATAATAAGCTAACATGTTTGGTGTTCGCCAAAAGGCATGTGGGAGACTCCCCAAACATATGGAAGAAGGTACTCTGGTCAGATGAGACTAAAATTGAGCTTTTTGGCCATCAAGGACAACGCTATGTCTGGCGCAAACTCAACACGTCTCATCACCCCGAGAACACCATCCCCACAGTAAAGCATGGTGGTGGCAGCATCATGCTGTGGGGATGTTTTTCATCGGCAGGGACTGGGAAACTGGTCAGAATTGAAGGAATGATGGATGGCGCTAAATACAGGGAAATTCTTGAGGGAAACCTGTTTCAGTCTTCCAGAGATTTGAGACTGGGATTGAGGTTCACCTTCCAGCAGGACAATGACCCTAAGCATACTGCTAAAGCAACACTTGAGTGGTTTAAGGGGAAACATTTAAATGTCTTGGAATGGCCTGGTCAAAGCCCAGACCTCAATCCAATTGAGAATCTGTGGTATGACTTAAAGATTGCTGTACACCAGCGGAACCCTTCCAACTTGAAGGAGCTGGAGCAGTTTTGCCTTGAGGAATGGTCAAAAATCCCAGTGGCTAGATGTGCCAAGCTTATAGAGACATACCCCAAGAGACTTGCAGCTGTAATTGCTGCCAAAGGTGGCTCTACAAAGTATTGACTTTGGGGGGTGAATAGTTATGCACGCTAAAGTTTTCTGTTTTTTTGTCTTATTTCTTGTTTGTTTCACAAAAACAATTATTTTGCATCTTCAAAGTGGTAGGCATGTTGTGTAAATCAAATGATACAAACCACCAAAAAAATATATTTTAATGCCAGGTTGTAAGGCAACAAAATAGGAAAAATGCCAAGGGGGGTGAGTACTTTCGCAAGCCACTGTATGTACATAGACTGAGTTATGCTTATGTTACGGTGAATAAATATAGATTTAAACATGGATACTCAGTTATGCATGGTGCATCGAGATAGACAACAGCAGATAGCAGCTCTACCTGCCTCTGTCGCTATAGTGAGTTTTTACCCAGGGGTCTGATGATGGTCCCTGTGACAATGAACTAGCAGCATTACCATGTTGTGTGACTCTACCACTCCATGTCTGAACCACAGTATATATATATGTTCTAAATGGAACCCTATTCTCTATATAGTGCACTACTTTAGACCTTTGGTCAAAGGTAGTGCACAAAAAGGGAGCCATTTGGGACTCAGCCTCTGTGTTCCTACTAGAAGATGGCTGCTCAGCACACAGAGGTCCTGCCAACTGCAGAGCAGATCAGATCAGACCAGAAAACCCTCAATCCACTGACTACATACTCATTCTCTCAGCTAACACTTTGAACCACAGGCCAGACAGCACCTCTTAGCTATACTCCATTTACCTCAGAGGTGTTAGGGGAGTTTGGACATGATCTCCATATCCCCAAGTTCACACTTCTCCTCCATCCCCAATGGCCATCTGATCCCAACTGCTTGCAGTGTAGTTCCCCATCCATCCCCAGTAGCACACATTTTACATTTGAGTAATTTAGCAGACGCTCTTATCCAGAGCGACTTACAGTTAGTGCATAATTTTTTTTAGACTGGCCCCCCGTGGGAATCGAACCCACAACCCTGGCGTTGCAAGAGCCATGCTCTACCAACTGAGCTACACGGGGCCACACGCACACCACACCATACCACATCACGCCACACCACGCCACGCCACACCACACCACGCCACGCCACACCACACCACACCACACCACCCTCCTGGTACTACTGCTTCTGCTGTGTGCATAAAACAGAGAGAGAGAGAGAGAGAGAGAGAGAGAGGAGAGAGAGAGAGAGAGAGAGAGAGGAGAGAGAGAGAGAGAGAGAGAGAGAGAGAGAGAGAGAGAGAGAGAAGAGAGAGAGAGAGAGAGAGAGAGAGAGAGGAGAGAGAGAGAGAGAGAGAGAGAGAGAGAGAGAGTTTATGCACGCACATGCATGCAAGTATCTGTGTGTGAGAGACAGAGAGAAAGAGGGAGAGAAAAGATGACGTAATTATGAACCTGTAACGTATGGTATTCCATAACACACCCTTCCCTTCACCACTCTGCTGAGTCTAAAGCTATCGTGTCAAAGCTGTCAAGGCCAGCGGTGTCATCTTCTTGGAAGAATTATAACCATTAAACTGTGTCCACCGTCCTAACAGGTGTCCATCCATGATTAATAGAATTAAGACAGTCATAAAATCAATAACAGAGATACTTGCATGCATTCAAGTACACTAGATATACTGTTTATTCAGTCATGCTGATGCTCCCTTGTTTTTCTATTTTCTATGTGTTCATTCTAAAAAATATATATAATTACTATTTAGACCATGGATAGTAATTTGCACTTTTGAGCAGTCTTTTTTCCCCCCTGTTGAATATCATGCGGTGGCAGGATTTGTGAGAAATAAAAGGCTTCCAACAGCTTGTAAATGGCTGTCCTTGGCAAGAATCTTCATCCTGACAGCTGTTAATAACACCAATACACATGCTTCCCTTGTCTTGTTTTTCACTCATAGGAAATGTCTGAAATGTCTGTTAATCACTCCTCCATGACAATATTGCTTACTTAGATATATTTCCTGAGAAATATATGAAAATCTTATATCTTGATTAGTACATTCTGAATACAAAAATGTTACCATTTGAACTCAATGGGCACTTTGGCCATTATAGGATTAAACTCATCAATCATCCATCCATCCATCCATCCATCCATCCATTCATTCATTACTTAATTCATCCATCCCCAGGATGGATGTCCAACTGACCGATCAACTGACCTCTCGTTCAGCTCATATTTCACCCAGGGGAAATATGTCAGTAGTATATTTAATCCTATGGGAAGAGTGGATTCTAGGACTTGCATGCTGTATGCCATTCGTGACCACTTATCACTGTCCTGCTGCTGTCAGACAGATTATACTGTTGTTTTAACTTTTTTCACAGCAGCAAGGAAACACCTGTGCCTTTATGCATTTGAAAAAGCAGTTCGCTTCATAGTGAACAGGGTGTAATTTTGGAGTAAGGACGCAACCTATTTTTTGTGTTCTGTGACAGCATTCCTCCACTTTTCAACCTGACTAGAGTGTTTATCACCGAGATGGGTCTTATAAGTCAATAAATAAATAGTGCAATAACTACCTAAATGCTGGCAGCTATAGAATGCAGCCTGACAAATCAGTTGAAACAGATCAATTAACACCTGGGTAATTTTAACTGCTTAATTCACAACGGAATCAGTCACATCGATCGTTTTGCAAACGTGTTTCCTCAATGAAGATACCTGAGACCATTCACCTCAAACCTCATCAATTAAATCAGCTCGAGTGAACACCGCAGTTTTGGACTCTGACCTTCAACCTGCTTCTACGTTGACAAGGTAACGTGATTTTTATATCATATCCTCGATATCACCTCTCTCGCCTCCTCAATCAATGGCTGCTAGGCCATGCCCGTGCACCCAACCTGGTCCCAGAGCATTTCGTATTATTCTGTACATAAATCCGAGACACTTCATTTAGTATGATATGTTATGAATTGCAATTCGTACAATATTAATTATGTGAGAAATGGCGGTGGAAATCCCATTTAAACAGCTCAATACATTGGAGGTGCCGAAGAGGCATTGTTTTTTCGGTTGCTTGTACGTTTTTATTTAGAACTTTCTATATACTGGCCATAACGGGAGTAAATGAAGATAGTTGCTCAGTGAAACTCCATATTTGGTGATCAACGAACGTATTTTGATATTATAATGTTTGCAGAGCTGGTGAATGGGTGTTTGAATTGGAGCTTTCTGGGCGTTAGAGAAGTCCCTACCGCACAGATACTGGTTCAAGCTGTTTTATGATAACCTACCTTGTTCAGTTATTATAGCCATAATATTTATTTCAAATTTAACCATCAGCTAAATCAATCTTGATAGGCTCCTGTGCCCAGTGGTGTAAAGTACTTAAGGAGAAATACCTGAAAGTACTACTTATATCGTTCCGCTAGTTACCACAGCCACAACGTCAAAATTGGCTATAACCTATTGTAAAAATTCATGAAAACAAAAATGGGTGTTTTAGTCTTAATTTAAGGTTAGGGTTATGCATAAGGTTAGCAGTGTGGTTACGGTTAGAGTTAAGATTAGGGTTAGGTTTAAAAACACATTTTAAGAAGATAGAAATATGCAGAGTTTATGACTTTGTGGCTAAGTTAACTAGTGACGACCATAATGACTGGCGTTCATTATGACTGGCGTTCATTATGACTGGCGTTGTGAAGACGCCAGGTATGTAATATTGTTTTGATTTGATCACGAGCTTGTTGCACGTGCGCGACACCTACTCCAACCACCGCAAATTAACCTGAAATGTTCCTTTTGCTCATGAATTGATGATGACAAAATGTGTCAACATTTAATGACAACAAAATGTAATGACAACATCCGATAGTGTATGCTCCTGTGTTAATGCAACAGTAGCCTAACGTTGCAGGCGTAAAATAACGCAACAGCCGACTATCTCCAGGGATTATACGAAAATAAAAACAAGTTGTGGAACAATGCGCAGATGATGTAGGCCTACCAACTATTTCCAAATGGAAGCGCTGCCTGTGAGCGCTGCCTGCCGGGCTGTGTCGCCTACACCCCCTCACACCCCCACACACACACACACACACACGAACAAACACCCCCCCCCCCCCCCCCCCCCCCCAACCCAAAGCGAAAGCACATGTAGCCTATGCTACCAAGGACATGGGGCAGAGTTGATGAATGAGTTTACCTCGGTGTCGTAGATTTTAGTGATGAGTGAAAACTTGTAATTCTGTGACTCTCGTATGTGCTGGATGGCCAGTTGGACTGCGGGCTCGATGCCCTGACTAATGCTGCTCATCAGCGCCGACTCATTCATCGGCATGAGCACCATGATGGGCAACTTCTCATCATCCCCCGAGAACCAGCTGTTGTCCTGACCGTGCCTCGAATAGTCATTGCAGACCTTGGCTAGCGCAGGTTGAAACGCCAAGATGGACAGGAGCAGGCATCCCGACAGAGACGTCATCTCCCATCCGCAGTGCCTTCGGGACGGGGCCATGCTACCGTGGCGTGCAGGACGACCGAATCAGATCCCACCGAGGTCTCACTGCTCAGGCATCGCAAATTCGGGGTCTTTCGAGGTGGTCAAACAATCCACCCGAGAGGGAAATATAGTAGTGTATATTAAAATGGTCCAAACAGTGAAACAGCAACCGTAGCCTAGGTAGGGGGTTCAACCGCAGCGAGCAACCTGAACCCGATTGTAGCCTATCACAACGAATTTAAAACAGATTTATTATCGATGACAGGTTTTCTGTAGGCTTATTCCGAGTGTCCAGTTTTGGTGTTGCACCATATATGGAAGAAACTGAGACCCGTTCTCTTGCAGAAGGTGTTATTGGCGCTGACGGTTCTCTCTCTCCTCCTGGTCTCCGTGATGCACAAGGTCTCCGCGTTAAAATCTCTCCAACTCAAACACTATCTTCAACCTGGGGAACCAGCGCGACAATGGCACAAGAACATCACAATTCACAGTCCGTAGGATGCTCAAAAACCCCAAATAAGACAACTTCAAGATGACAGAGGTCGACCAGAGTCATCCACTCTCGTTGACAGTTGGATACAAATTCACCTCCCGAGTATTTTCCCCAGCCAAGAGACAGCAGAGAAGCCTAATAGAACATCCGTGCCAGCGCACTACAATATGTAGCCTATTCAGATCGAAGAGAATACGGAAATTGTTCTGGTTAAGAGAGCCTAAATAGAGAATATTCAAAGCAATCTTGATTGCAGCGCGTCCAGAGTGTGTGTGCTAGCTGCCGACGACGCTGAGGCTGCGGCTGCCTGATTGCTTCTGAAAAAGGCTTCACTTATTTAGCGCTGTCTGCTGCTGCTCAGAGCGCGCACGAGTGGGAGCAGCGAAAGAGATGTGGAAAAAGAAAGACAGCGAGATAGAGAGAGAAAGGGAGGGAGGGAGGGGGACTCAGAGGAGGGAGGGAGGGAGGGAGGGAGGGAGGGAGGGAGGGAGGGAGGGAGGGAGGGAGGGAGGGAGGGAGGGAGGGAGGGAGGGAGGGAGGGAGGGGGACTCAGAGGAGGGAATGGATGGTGCAAGCTCTTGTGTAAGCATCAGCTGCCTGACAGGCAAAGGTGATTTAATGGGCGTTCGTGTTTAGCAGAGAGACAGGGTTTCAAACATACAAGAGTGTAGCCTGATTCACTACATGACCAAAAGTATGTGGACACCTGCTCATCGAACATCTCATTCCAAAAACATGAGCATTAATATGGAGTTGGTCCCCCCTTTGCTGCAATTAGTGAGGTCTGGCACTGATGTTGGGCGATTAGGCCTGGCTCGCAGTCGGCGTTCCAATTCATCCCAAAGGTGTTCGATGGAGTTGAGGTCAGGGCTCTGTGCAGGCCAGTCAAGTTCTTCTACACCAATCTCGACAAACCATTTCTGTATGGACCTCGCTTTGTGCACGGGGGCATTGTCATGAACAGGAAAGGGCCTTCCCCAAACTGTTGCCACAAAGTTGGAAGCACAGAATCGTCTAGAATGTCATTGTATGCTGTAGCGTTAAGATTTCCCTTCACTGGAACTAAGGGGCCTAACCTGAACCATGAAAAACAGCCCCAGACCATTATTCCTCCTCCCACTAAACTTTACAGTTGGCACTATGCATTGGGGCTGGTAGCGTTCTCCTGGCATCCTCCAAACCCAGATTCGTCCGTCGGACTGCCAGATGGTGAAGAGTGATTCATCACTCCAAAAGATGCGTTCCTACTGTTCCAGAGTCCAATGTCGGCAAGCTTTACACCACTCCAGCCGACATTTGGCATTGCGCATGGTGATCTTAGGCTTGTGTGCGGCTGCTCAGCCATGGAAACCCATTTCATGAAGCTCCCGACAAACAGTTATCGTGCTGAAGTTGCTTCCAGAGGCAGTTTGGAACTCTGTAGTGAGTTTTGCAACTGAGGACAGGCGATTTTTTACGAGCTTCAGCACTTGGCAGTTCTGTTCTGTGAGCTTGTGTGGCCTACCACTTCACGGCTGAGCCGTTGTTGCTCTTAGACGTTTCCACTTCACAATAACAGCACTTATGCAGAAATTTTACGAACTGACTTGCTGGAAAGGTGGCATCCTATGACGGTGCCACGTTGAAAGTTACTGAGCTCTTCAGTAAGGCCATTCTACTGCCAATGTTTGTCTATGGAGATTGCATGGCTGAGTGCTCAATTTTATACACCTGTCTGCAATGGGTGTAGCTGAAATAGCCAAATCCACTAATTTGAAGGGGTGTCCACATACTTTTGTATATATATTGTATGTGGCTCAATGGGCTAGCCTACATCTTAAAACCACCCTGGTCTCATAGAGTAGGCACAACATAATAAACGTAAATCCAGGACACTCAAATTAGTATGATATGTTACCTTTGGTATGGTTACAGTGGGGGAAAAAAGTATTTAGTCAGCCACCAATTGTGCAAGTTCTCCCACTTAAAAAGATGAGAGAGGCCTGTAATTTTCATCATAGGTACACGTCAACTATGACAGACAAATTGAGGAAAAAAATCCTGAAAATCACATTGTAGGATTTTTAATGAATTTATTTGCAAATTATGGTGGAAAATAAGTATTTGGTCACCTACAAACAAGCAAGATTTCTGGCTCTCACAGACCTGTAACTTCTTCTTTAAGAGGCTCCTCTGTCCTCCACTCGTTACCTGTATTAATGGCACCTGTTTGAACTTGTTATCAGTATAAAAGTCACCTGTCCACAACCTCAAACAGTCACACTCCAAACTCCACTATGGCCAAGACCAAAGAGCTGTCAAAGGACACCAGAAACAAAATTGTAGACCTGCACCAGGCTGGGAAGACTGAATCTGCAATAGGTAAGCAGCTTGGTTTGAAGAAATCAACTGTGGGAGCAATTATTAGGAAATGGAAGACATACAAGACCACTGATAATCTCCCTCGATCTGGGGCTCCACGCAAGATCTCACCCCGTGGGGTCAAAATGATCACAAGAATGGTGAGCAAAAATCCCAGAACCACACTGGGGGACATAGTGAATGACCTGCAGAGAGCTGGGACCAAAGTAACAAAGCCTACCATCAGTAACACACTACGCCGCCAGGGACTCAAATCCTGCAGTGCCAGACGTGTCCCCCTGCTTAAGCCAGTACATGTCCAGGCCCGTCTGAAGTTTGCTAGAGTGCATTTGGATGATTCAGAAGAGGATTGGGAGAATGTCATATGGTCAGATGAAACCAAAATAGAACTTTTTGGTAAAAACTCAACTCGTCGTGTTTGGAGGACAAAGAATGCTGAGTTGCATCCAAAGAACACCATACCTACTGTGAAGCATGGGGGTGGAAAAATCATGCTTTGGGGCTGTTTTTCTGCAAAGGGACCATGACGACTGATCTGTGTAAAGGAAAGAATGAATGGGGCCATGTATCGTGAGATTTTGAGTGAAAACCTCCTTCCATCAGCAAGGGCATTGAAGATGAAACGTGGCTGGGTCTTTCAGCATGACAATGATCCCAAACACACCGCCCGGGCAATGAAGGAGTGGCTTCGTAAGAAGCATTTCAAGGTCCTGGAGTGGCCTAGCCAGTCTCCAGATCTCAACCCCATAGAAAATCTTTGGAGGGAGTTGAAAGTCTGTGTTGCCCAGCGACAGCCCCAAAACGTCACTGCTCTAGAGGAGATCTGCATGGAGGAATGGGCCAAAATACCAGCAACAGTGTGTGAAAACCTTGTGAAGACTTACAGAAAACGTTTGACCTGTGTCATTGCCAACAAAGGGTATATAACAAAGTATTGAGAAACTTTTGTTATTGACCAAATACATATTTTCCACCATAATTTGCAAATAAATTCATTAAAAATCCTACAATGTGATTTTCAGGATTTTTTTTCCTCATTTTGTCTGTCATAGTTGACGTGTACCTATGATGAAAATTACAGGCCTCTCTCATCTTTTTAAGTGGGAGAACTTGCACAATTGGTGGCTGACTAAATACTTTTTTCCCCCACTGTATATAAGACTGAAAGTTACTTAAGGCAAAGAAGTAGGGTGGTTGGTCGGTGTGGATGGGTAGGCGTATAACGCAAACGTCTAGCAACCCAAAGGGTGCGTGTTCGAATTTCATCACGGACAACTTTAGCATTTTAACTAATTAGCAACTTTGCAGTTACTCACTACTTTGCAACTACTTAGCATGTTAGCTAACCTTAACCTTAACATTTTACCCTAATTCCTAATCCTAACCTTAACCTCTAACACCTAGCCTAGATAACATTAGCCACCTAACTAATGTTATCGTTAGCCACCTAGCTAACGTTAGCAACAACAAATTGGAATTTGCAACATATCATACGTTTTGCAAATTCGTAACATATTGTACGAATTGCAATTCGTAAGATATTGTACGAATTGCAACTTGTAACGCATCATACAAATTGTAATTGGTAATATATCATACGAAATGGATGATGGACATCCACAAATTAATACATACCATACAAAACGTAGCGTATCATACTCATTGGAGTGTCCCGGATTTACTTGTACTATGTTACGTCTACTCCTTAGTCCAGGTTGCATGCATGAAAACATAGCCTCTGTATCACAGGAGGCTGCTGAGGGGAGGACGGCTCATAATAATGGCTGGAATGGAGTAAATGGAATGGCATCAAACACCTGGAAACCATGTGTTTGATGTATTTGATACCATTCCACTCATTCAGCTCCAGACATTACCAAGAGCCCGTCCTCCCAGTTAAGGTGCCACCAACCTCCTGTGCGTCTGCATGAATTTAAAATAATTTACCATGACTATGGTAGCCTATGGCAAAAATTATTGCTTACTGTATATTATGTAGGCTATATAAACATAGCATATACAGTACATTTCAAAATGGTTTATATTGAATATGTTGAATTACAAGATAGGCAATCGATGGATTCCTTTACAGAAGCGCCGTCAATGCCGGTTTGTAAACTCATAAATTATCTAAAATATGAGAGCAGAAGAGAATGTCGAA